TAAAAAACACCCCCCCCCCCCAAAATTAGAATACTGTACTGTACTGTCCATACAGCACGGTACCAGTATCACGGTACCCTAGAGTGGTCTTATAGTCCAGATAGGCGGGATATAAATAAATAAATATCAGGCAGTACCAGGCAGTCTGAAGACTGTATCTCTATCCACTCTGTAAATGCTGGGAAGAGTGAGGAAGCAGACAACCCCCCTCTTCGCTGGCCAACGGTTAACTGATAGTTCAACTTTTGCTCTTTCCCTGCCTCCCTCACCATTTTTTTTGTTCGTAACTCGAACCACAGGTTCGTAAGTAGGGGCCACTGTTTCTATGGATCGGGTTCGTAACTTGGGCAATGTTCGTAAGTAGGGCCTGTTATTTTCTATGAGGTTGGGTTCATAACTTAAAACGTTCGTAACTAGGGCCATTCGTAAGTAGAGGGCCCACTGTACTGCAGTGAAGATTCTGTTCATGACTTGGGTTTGATCTTGAAATCAGATAACTGGCAAGAAGTTGACTCAACCTTCCATTCTTCCAAAGTCAGTAGACTGAGTACTGAGGTCTCTAGGAGGGCAATATGTAACCCGCATAATTATGTTGTAAACCACCCAGAGAATGCTTTAAGTACTTGTGGGTAGAATACAAGCAGCACACTTTTGCTTTGCAAAAAAGACTTTCCTTACCAGTTAGGATAGATTTGGGAACTGCTTAAAACCCTTAGGTTTTCTCTAAAATGCATTGACATGCCCTTTAAATGTTTTATCTTGTTTGTTACATTTAAAAATGCTTGTTACATCATGATGCTTGCTATATCTCAGAATGAAAATGGAATTACTTGCCACAATATTTTAAACTTGCTATACAATCACTATCCAACAATTTATATTTATTGCAACTGAAATATTTTACTGAAACAAAACTTTGAAAATAAAGACATAGGTAAGGATTATCCCAAACTTTAAATTTGGTTTTATTTTCAGGGATGTCAGCAATGAAATTGTGTTTAGATTATTAATATAAACATATTAAATATGTATATTCTTATCTTACATAATATGCATCTTGACCTGAAATACATTAGAACTAGTCTTAATTATCTGGAAAATAATCCCATTGGCCTTGGTTGGACTTATTTCCATGTCAAAACTATGACTGTTTTGGTTTGTTGAACAGTGTAGTCCTGTGTTTGATGTCACAAGCAAACCTTCTTTTCCACAATTGCAACAGCAATCAAATGCACACTTTTTTTATTCTGTTCTCCTTATGACTTGCTTTTTGTTCATGCCTGGCCTGAACACAATGATGTAGCATTTGGGACAAAAGATGCAAAGCAGAAGGCCAGCACTGGATGACAAGATGGAGAAGATCTCCACGGCTGCTGTGTATTTGCCTTTGGTGCTCAGGTAGGTTGGAATAAAAGACAACCAAACACTGCAGAAGACCAACATACTGAAAGTGATAAATTTGCCTTCATTGAAACTGTCGGGTAGCTTTCTGACCAGGTAAGCCACAAGGAAGCTGACAACAGCAAGGAAGCCCATGTAGCCCAGGACACAATAGAACATGAAAGTTGAGCCCTCATTACATTCTAGGATGATCTTCCCTTTCAGTGAATGCTTGTCTATATCTGGGTATGGTGGAGAAGTGCTCAGCCAAAGTGCACAGATACCTGCTTGAACTGAAGAACAGGAAGTAACAACCAGACTCGTTAGTTTTATCCCCACCCATTTTCTCATCCTGGAGCCTGGTCTGGTAGCCATGAATGCTAGAACTACGTTGAGGGTTTTTGCCAATACACTGGAAACGGCAACAGCAAAAACGATGCCAAAAGCCGTTTGTCGGAGAAGACAAGTCAACCTTCGGGGCTGACCGATAAAAAGCAAGGAGCAGAGGAAGCAGAGGAGGAGAGAGACGAGGAGAGTGTAGGTGAGACTTCGGTTATTGGCTTTCACGATGGGCGTCTCCCAGTTTTTGGTAAATGTTCTTATCACGAAAGCTGTGATGAGAGCAAAAGCCACAGAAGACAAGGCTAAAGTGATCCCTAAAGGCTCATGATATGACAGGTAGGTTGTCAGCTTGGGAATGCATTGGTCCTGGTTCTCATTTGAATAGTAATCTTCTGAACATTCAGAGCAGGTGTCCATATCTAGAATAATAAAGGAAAGCACTTTGTGATCAGTTTATGGGCTGTGTAAAGTGTCCCCACAGTTCTCATGCCTTTCTTAATACTCTCCACAAAATGATGTCATACCGCTGAAGAAATACTACTTCCATCAGAACAAGACTTCTCTTTTTTTTGCTGTGGCTATGCAAACAGCCTTTTCTCAGTCAATACTCTTGATGTTTTGAAGTGACCAATCTATCTCTTTTTATTTTCATTTCATTTTTATTAAGCATTTTAGATTTAACTAAGGCATTCTGAGAAATTTTAAATATCTGAAATACCGTATTTTTATGCTTCTGTTTTGTTGTCTGCTGTTAGTATGTATATTTTTACTTGCTCCTATTTTTGTTGTCTGCTATGAGTGTGTACAGTTTTTAATTACATACTGACTTTCTGTGAACTATTCTGAAGTCTGTGTGATGAAAATTTGGTTATCACAATTCTAAGAACGACCCTCCATTTCTATGAAAACCACAATCATTTGAGTTCTGTTAGTTTGCCAGGATCCGTGGGCAGACATCACAGAAATGAACTGGAATTGCCATGTGCTTCATGCCAGCAGGAAATACACTCTTACCTTCCTGCTCTGAAATCTTCCCCTCTGGACAGGGAATGCAATCGTAGCAGCAAAATAGCTCCCCTTCTTTCTTTCTCTTGCTGTAACCAGGAAAGCAATTCTCATTACATACAGATATAGGCACCACCTATAAAGAAAATAAATCAAGGATTGTCACAAATTGTCATTACTGCTTTTGAAGACCCATGTAAAGAGTTATGCTTTAAGTGCAGCAGATTTTAATGAGGCTGCCTGATTTTCCCATGAATTTCTCCTCAGCCCAGAATAACAACTTCTTGTTCAGGTTAAATGTTTTGTGTAAGGGAAGTTCTTACCTTTTGTTCACTATTAATAGGAAGAAACTCTTTTTTGTAAGAGTAAAGCACTATGGCTTGGGGAAATTCAGGCATTTTGCTGTCATATAACTGACTCCCTTATACCGTAGGATCTGTGTAAGATTTGCACATCATCTATCTGGGATTCAATTATGAATTTTGCCTAATTTGCACCTTTAGCATGATGGACATTTTATGAGCTTTGCACAGGTGGGTATATAAAATATATCTCTACACAGGGGCGCTCACTACCTTGGTGCATGAGGTATTTAGCAGAGCTCCTGGTGGCATTGCTACTGTTATCCAGAAGCAGCCACAGTTAGTAGGGGTGGGTGGCTTGCTCATGAGGAGTCAGCTTTGAGAAATTATCTAAAGTCGCAACTAGGGAATGGTTGTTCCTGGAATATGTCACTCAATGAGATATCACTGATACCTCAATCACATATAGCCCTCAGTGCATTCCAAGGGTATGTCACTCAGTGTAAGCTATGAAAGGCTGTTGAGGCTTATGAAGATTATCTGTCTAATGTAGTGGGGCTCATGGAGGAATAACAATGGAAAGATACCTTGTTCATAGGGGTGGCCCAAGGAGGAGAGAGGGAAGAAAATCATATGTCTTCTTCTGGAAAGGAATGCATCCACCTGAATTGTCCTGCTAGTTGTCTCTAAGGCTGGGGGTAGATATTTCTGCACATTCTCCCCTCAGTTGGTCATTTATTTTTACATCTAACTGTGTCACCTCTTCACTTCTGGTTGCATCACTAAAATGCTGTAAGTATTTCCCCATATTTAATTGTTACTTTAGAACCAATGATAAAGTGTGGAAAGGAGTCAGAAAATGTGTCTACTGCTAAATACTTTGTTTCCTCCCAAGTGGTAATCCTGAGATCAGAAATTTTAAATCACTTGCCTTGATATTTCAACAAATGCAGAATTTTATTTTAAAACGCTACAAGTATAAATATTCTGTTAGGTGAATCTAATTGCAAAACCAAAGCTTATGGACAATGCCGCATCAACTAATAAAAGAAAAGGTAAGACCTTCAAAGTACATGTAAACTTTAAGAAGCCACCTTCAAGTTACATTGAGCTAGGAATTTGCAGTCCATCCAGTCTCACCTGGTTAAAGTTTTTGTTCCACACAATGCTTTCATCCTGAAGAGTCAACCTTTCTTCTATAGGACCCTGAGTTTTCCAACTTCCAACTTTTACTCTAACAAAAGACTGATTGGGAAATGTTATCCAGTTGGTAACATCAAATCCTGCAGTTAATTCTTGATTTTCACCAAATTGTATTGTCTCTCCAGCACTGTTGTTGAAGGAGATACTTTTTAAAAAGTGGTTGAGCTAAGTGTAAGACAGAAAGAAAACAGGGAAAGAGAGAAACCACAGGTTGTTGCAATACTTTAAATGAGATGCAAGCATTTATTTCTGAGAGGGATTTTAGGTACAGCCAGATTTTGTCTCCTCATGTACAGATTAAAACTGAGCTGAAGTTTTATCCAGAGCCTTTTCTGGTCTATGCAGGGAAAGAAAATGAATTATTCTTGCATGTTGGACAAAGATTGATTAATTAATTGGAGTGGGATTAAGGTAACAGCATGAAGCAATTACTTCATCCCTCTTTTATCTTTTTTAAAAAGGCTTGCTGATGCTTAAAAAATATCAGAGGTGTTAAAATCAGCAGTATTCAACTATATCTTCCACACATCTAACAATGGACCCTAGAAATACATTGTCTCATTATATACACCCTGTTTCCCCAAAAATAAGACCTAACCTGAAAATAAGCCCTAGTATGATTTTTCAGGATGCATGTAATACAATATAAGCCCTACCCCCAAAATAAGCCCTAGTTAAGTGAAACCCCGCCCTCCACCATTGTGCAGCAACCAGAAGAAGATGACATGATTGTATTTGAATAAATGTAGATTGTTGTACATGAAAAAAAAAATCCCCTGAAAATAAGCCCTAATGCGTTTTTTGGAGCAAAAAATTGATGTTTCATGGTTCAATGCTATTCATGAAGTACAGACTTTCACAAACTTTCCGATAAAATAAAGTGTTTTGTTGTTCATGTGATTTGGAATTTCCAAGAGTGGTAGAATGGCCCCTGCACAACTTAGAGATGCCAATCTCCCAGAACTTCTTCAGCTGACTCTCCTCCCCACACCTTCCAAGTACGGCAAAGATTGGATATGAAATGTCTGAGTTACAGCGCCCCAAAGCAGGTCTTCCAAGGGAGGTGTTCTTTAACAGCTGACATAGGGAAAATTCAATGAATAGTTCACATAACGGAACTTGAGACAGAGTGTTGCTCATCATGAGGTGGACTGGAGAGGGAACAAAAAGGGGGCAGGATCAATAAACTAGCTAGCTAAGTGTAATCTTTCCATGCCGGCTGCTGCAAAAGTGAACTCACTAGCTGAGCTACCCAAGGTGTGGGTTCCATAATCAGCTACTCCCAAAGAGCAGACGTGGAGCTACGAGGTTAGCTGCCTGAATTGGTAATCAATCCTAGGTCCACCTCAGGATAGCCTCGGGAAATGATTGAGTGGCATCAGGCTATCTGGCCAGGGACAATGCACCCCAAAAAGAAGTGTACCAATCACTAACACCAGTAATAGTTCAGCATTTTGTTTCATTCTGGGCAATGTGTTTCTACAAGGCGTCCCAAAATGAATCACAAAACAACTCGATTTGTGAGGGGTTTTTTTGTTTTGCTTTGTGGTTTGTTTCATGACCATTTCTACTCCTGAACAGAAATGAGGGCTTTGTATTCATATACAAGTACAAAGCCCGCTGGCACAGGTGGCCGTCTTGATGATCACAGCCCCCATGCCCCCACTGGACCATTTATTGCATGGCGCGTAGAATAGATAAAGATAAAGAAAGAGAATTACAGTGGTGCCCCGCATAGCAATGATAATCCGTGCTGAAAAAATCGTCGCTATCCGGATTCATCACGATGCGGGGCAAAAAACCCTATAGGAACGCATGAAAACGGGTTTAATACGTTCCTATGGGGGAAAAACTCACCACTATGCGAAAATCCTCCATCCGGCTGCCATTTTTGCTGCCCGGTAAGCGAGGAAAGGGCATGAAAACGCTGCGGGTGGCCATTTTTTTCCGGTGGCCATTTTGGAACCGCTGATCAGCTGTTTTTTAAACATTGTTAAGCAAAAATCGGTAAGCGAAACGCTTACCGATCATCGGAAAGCAATGTTTGGCCATATAAAACATTGCAATGTGATTGCTTTTGCGATCGCAAAAAAGCCATCGCTATACGGATTCATAGTTAAATGGGGCGCTTGTTAAGCAAGGCACCACTGTACGTAGTTCATATGGATGGCTTCTTCTGCGCTGCAATTGTGACAGTAGCTCAGCTGCTACAGTCTTGCCTCCATGCTCAACCAGCCACTCCACGGCTGAGCAGGGAGATATCCTCCCACCCCCTTGCCAGAGTGGCTGGGCGAGTAAGGAGACGGGGCTGCAGTAGCCAAGCTGCTGCCTTGACTGGGGCACAGAAGATGATGCCAGCCATGTGCACTGCATGGTAAGATGTCCAGCAGGGTCTGGGAGAAGATGTTCATCAAGACAGAAGAATTTTAGTTCCCACCTTCTCTTTCTGCATTTATGGGTCTGCACATCATCTTACTTGGACATAAAATAAGACCATGATAAGGACCCTATAAAATGGCTTTTTAAATGCAGACCAATATATAGACTGTACATTATTATAAATGTGTGAGTTCTGATATTTAAATTTAAGCAGGAATGGAAATCTGTGTTCTTTTGTGCTATTACCTCCCATGGGTGTAGATTCCAGGCAGCTGACCTCCCACCAGCCACCCGTGATCTGTACTTGGAGATTGATTCTTCATACATCATGTGCAGGGCCCGTGCAACAGCCTGGGCAGCGTTGTAAATATTATAGCTGTGTCCCGACATGCTCATTCCAAAGAGAGGTCCAGGAAGGGTCTCAAGCTTCTCATCTCCACTGCAGATTTTCTTGCTCCCCTTACCATCCTGCAAACTGAGACTTTTCAAGGAACATTTGAAGGCCTGCTCCCAAAAGTCTTGGATAAAGCCATCCTCTTTTGCCCAAGAAGGATTTATATTCTGAAGAAAAGTCTGGAATCCAAGTGGTTCCTCTGAGTGGATTGCGAAGGATAGCATACCATGAAAAGTTTGTATATCACGGTACTTATGACTGGGTGGTACAGTGAATTCCAAGTGTGTTGTCACAATCCATACTATTCCTGTGGGTGAATTCAGAAGGGCCACATGAAAATAGTAGTTCAAAAAGTCCATTGCTAGAGGACCACCATAGACAAGAAACACCTTGGTTTTGCTTTCAACTATAGCCACAGCTGAAATTTTACCCTGTTCAGTATACAAGAATTCTGGCATTCTATCAACAATTGTTCGTGTTCTCATTTTAGCTATGAAAGCAATGCAGATGTTGCTCTGAGAAAGCAGTGGCACGAATTGTTGCAAAAATCTCTCTCCAATGGGATAATCCACTGTAAAAAGTCCAACCCATGTCCACCTGAAATGCAGAAATAACTGGACAAGTCCCATGTACTCATGGACATCATCTGGGGTCATACGATACAAGGAAGGCTGTAGTTTTTTCCGATCCAGGCTTGAGTCAAGGGAGCCAAATGTGAACTGAAAGACAACATAGATGTAAGTGGCTCAGAATATTTGTGTGTTGTGTGTATCATTTAAATGGCTTGGACTTTGTAATGTGACATGCGTTTTCTAGATATTAGCTTTCTTTTACATGATTAAAAAACTATTTTTAGAGAAGATATGCAGAGATATTAGGGCATGTTTAGATTGTAGTTGGCAACATTCGACCCTTCATCTTTCCTGGGGCTTCTCATCATATGCCACTGCAAATATGCGTTGTAATGTTTGGGTGAGATGAGGCTAAAAATTTCTCCCTATTTCTTTTACAAACTGTGAGGAGGCATTTTGGAAATGTTTTGCTGTCCCCCACAAACCCTCGGTCCCCTGATTCCCCCTCAAAATTTTAACTTTACAAAAAATTCCCTTACTGTAAGTTACAAGACAGTTATTTTTCAGCTTTAAAGCCCCATTTTTGTACAAAAATGTGGGGGGAGCTGAAATGGTAGTAGTCTGAAGTGCAAGGGTAGTCTTTTGTAGCTTCTGGACCTTCAGATATTGTCCATCCCTGGTCAAGATCAGTCTTTCATCACAAGAAATAATTGGTTGTATCCACACTTGCACTGCAGTCCTTATATGCCTATGCAAAATTAAGTCATCATGAGTTCAATGTTTCACAGTTTTCAGATGAGAAATACTTTTGCACAACACGAATGTTTCTGTACTCATTACTTTCCTGATAATTCCATCATTCCACCCATAAGAATAATTTAGCTTTTGGGGCCGAGGCCATCTCAGTGTTCCCCTCAAAAATATTTACCTCTGGAATCTTGTAGATATTTAGAATAGAAGCCAGGTCCAAGGTGTTCTGAGGATATATCACTCCAATGAGCACTATCATATTATTCTGAATGTCACACCTGTAGTTGGGAATGAATCTATGCCGCATTGAAATCAGATCCAATGTAGTCTTATAAATTATTCTTTCATCATGGTAAATATCATAGCTGTGGAATCCCAAGGTGACATTAGGTATGACATTAGGGTTTTCGTTGATTTCCTGTACAGCAAATGCCAAGGCTAGGATATACTGATATTTCCTAGTTTGCACACTGTAATAAATATTGTATACTGCATAAAACAGCAGCAGACATTGTTAAAACATCTTATAATTCTTATAATCATATAGTCACCTTACAATTCATCTTAGTCATCTTGGAATTCTTATAGCGTCAATGAGCAAAATCTAGTTGTATAACTACACAGCACAACTCTATGTTACAACCTCACATGCTGCCTCCTAGCTTGTTTGATTGGGAGGAGCTGACAATTGGCCAGTTTTAACCAAGTTCTCTCTGGGGTGTCAGAATTCTAAGAGAGCTCCGAGTTCTTTACCTCAGAGAAAGTCTGTTGATGTCCATTGATGGTGGTTGTTAGAAAATCTCCATTGAAGCAGAGTTCGAAGTGGTCATTTTGTTAGTTAGTTTATTGTTAATAAACAATAAACATTTGTAAATAAATGGAACATTTTTATCCTTTATACTAATCTCTCAGAGTCAATGACTGAGACTGCAAGTGCCAGTTAAAGAGAGACAGGGTGGATTATCTAGAACTAGAAACAATTATTCCCTGTGAGTCCCTGCACTTTTGCTGCACAGAGGAGGAAAGTTAATCACAAAATGTCAACATGCAGCAACACGTTGCACCAATGGTAGTTATGATAGTGCAAAAGTGGAAGTGTTATTCATGAAGCACTTTTCTGGTGCACTGGGAACTTGGTTATGCAGATATGCAACCAGTTGCAAAGTTTGAATTTTGTAGTCCCTTGTTGTCAGGAGTGATTCTCCACACATTTATACCAGTACAGTATAAGTTTATGTTACACCGGTATAAACAAACATTTATACCTGTTAATACTAAAACTGGCCTATTGATTCAATGGAATTTACAAAGGTTTTTGACTCGCCAAACACCCACGGATGCAATGAGTGTGTTCTACTTGCAACTTACTACCTTAAATAACAAGATTTCAGCCATTGGGGCTTGAAATTCTGGCTTCCTTTTGAATTGTGTACAACAGCAATCTTCTATGTGGTACAAAAGTGTCCGTCCTGTTCAACTTGAAGAAGAAGAAGAAAAGGCTGAGAGGTGATATGATTACCATCTTCAAGTCTGTTTTGGTAAATTTGCCTTACTTACAAATATGGAATTGGAATGTTATAGAGGCATATAAGTGTTCATTTGAAAGAGGAGAAGCTACCATCCTTCACCCGATTTACTACATCTGTATGTTTTTTAACACAACAAATCAAATATCTGCCTACTTTGCATTAGTTAGAGAGAATGTTATGTTCAATCAACATCATGGAAAGTTTCTCAATGGTCTATTCACAAATAGCTTCAACTAGCCACTCTGAACTATTAAGCAATGATCTGCCTAAAGACACGTTCTTCTCTAGCTATAAACTTATACAAAAAACATTTTCTTTGTAAATAGTGCTGTACAGAATTCAGTGTGATTCATATATATTATCACAGTTTTTTTTAAAAAAACATATTTATATATAAACATAATTATCTTTATCTTATTTGATAATAATAGGCTTAGAGGCAGAAAAGTTATTTTTCCAGTCAGTGACTGCTAAACTGAAGGAAGAAACTAGTATCTCAGATTTCCAATGAAAAATTGTATCAAATATAGCTTATAAAATCTTATAATTAGAATCAGGAATATATGATTGTATTCCTGTATGGAATCATCAATACATGATTCCTGTATGGAGAAGAAATCCAGAGAATGCATGTCATCAAATATTAAGAATGCACATCACGTTTAGTATAAGACAAGCAACAAGATGTTTCTTGCCAACACTGTGGGGGAAAAAATGAAAGACTATCTAAAACTGAGCCAAAATAGCAGGAAAGTAAGTATGCAGAATAAGATACCAGGTTTCGAAAATATTTAAGACAATAATATTTTGGAGAAGACAGAAAGATGGGAAGAAAAGTGAGAGAGGGCATTAAATCATGAAAATGTACTGACACAGCAAACAGATGAAAATAAAGAAGCATAGCATACAGAGCAAGCTCTATAAAGTGTAGTCCTGAAACTGCATAGACCTTCTGAAGGCTATCTTCTCCCCTCTTTCCCCTGGGGTCTACCGAAAATAGGTGAATTGCTGCTCCTCAAAATCTCCAGTATTAAATGTCATAATGACTTCATATCACTTAAGACCCCAAAGTTTCAGAATTGAAATGGACTTTAGCACACACACACCCTTTCAAAAATTCTTTTGCAGTCATTGTGGACCTTAGTATATATAAAAAGACACCAGGTTTGAAGTTCCTGGGATGCATACATGTCATACCTAAGTGATATTAGCATTAAGTTCTAATAGAACTGCAGTATATCCTCATTAATTGGAGTGCCTCGCAAAATAAATCATAACAGATGAAATAATGAGGCATGGCATTGTACCATAGATGCCACTTTATATAAAATATGCAATATAAGGCAGGAAATAATTATCACAAGTATTTTGTTGCTTAATGTACCCAGTTTTTATTGTGCAAACAAATACCTATAATGAGATGAAAAGAACTCCTTACATGAATTGATCCTTGGTCAACTGTGGAGATGGTTTCTTGCTGAAATTAGTACTTAACTGCAGGAGAAAGAACATGCCAGGGATCTGTCCAATCACAACATCTCCTGGCTTAAAAAAATCATGTGAAATAGGGAAAGCTTCACTCACTCTACATGTAACAAAATGGCTCTTTAATGTGGGAGAGGCAGGATATGCGTCAGTCATGATACCAGGCAGAAAACTAATAAGAAGCACTAATAGTGCCACCATTTTGAGAGCAAAATTACTGTTCCATATGTACATTCTGCTGTTTACATTCACTACATTTAATTATTTCAGAATAGCTGACAATCTGCTGATAAATTGAACTCTTCCCACAGGTTCATTCATCATCTGAATCTTTGTCCTTTTGCTTATGCATTCTGTGTTGTTTCATATATATATACACATTATTAATGCAACACAATGTTTCTGTAGATTTACTACAACTATGCACCAATGTGGAATTATTTTCTGTATAATGAAGAGCTGGAAGAAAAGAAATAGATGAAATGGTGTGAGAAGTATTTGAGCAGCTCACAAAGTCACAGTTTCATCTGTAGTCATTCATATTCACAAGACAGCTCAGATTTACAGGCATCCCATGAAACTCCCACTTGTCAAAGTAACCAAGTTCTGCTCATCCAAGACCAGATATGAGCATTAGAGAAGGTTCTTATAATGAATTTAGACCACAGCAAATTTTTACTTTAGCTATTCTGTTGCATTTGGAAAACAGAACAATTACATGGGCTAATTACAGGGCAGAGAATTAGTTCTCTTCTGATGACATTGCTTTGCAACAACAACAAAAAAGGAAAGCATGTGAAGAAGCAGCAGGTGTTAATTGGACTGGTGCTGCCAGTTCCCCTCACCCACCAGAGTTTGAATAATACCAACCTACTGAAATTAATTCAAGAGTTTTCCTTTCAGGTACATAGAGCTCTCCATCCTGATCATGCAGAAACTCTAGAAATACTCAATGAAGAGAGTACATTTATTGTAGGCAGAGCTACCTCTGTGATACCACATGGCAGGCATATTTGGTCAACATATTATAAAGGGGATGGAGGTGTGGAATGAATGACATACAGTGCCTTAACCACTTACCCTCATATTATTATTTTGAATGGCTATCATAGTGGAACTCTGTACAATCCCTAAGCTCAGCTGTCCCTATAATAATGATATCAAACAGATGGGGCATACATTCCTTTTTTAGTGCTTAATTAGAATTTCCACTATTCCTTTTCTGGTTGCCTCCTTCAATACCTTTCTGTCAGACAGGTTCTGCTGGAAGTAAAGAATACTGTAACCATACTTATAAAATCAATAATTTGCCTATGGCAGCAATGGATTTTGAGCAGAAAATGGCACAGTTGTTTTGCTGTTGATTGATTTATTGATTAAGTTAGGATGAAAAATGCAATGTCTTTAAAAATGGAAGTTCATAGTTTGAATTTTTTTAATTAATATTTGTTGAGCAATATGTAGAATTAGCATTAGCCAGAGAAGGGAGAATGAAAACAAGTTTAGTTTAAAACAAGTTTGTAAGCAAAAAGAAGGAACACATAGAGTCCACTGATGGTTTTATATGTACATGTATAGTAAGGCAATCTCAGACTGTTTTTGAACTTCCATAGTTCATAAATATACATGTAGACTTCAAGCTTTATATAAGTGTTGTTATGAAAAGAAAGAAATGGTGGCTGTAGCTATCTTGTTTGTGATACAAGATTATTGCTACCCTCCCATTTTTTTCAAGTCTTACTCCACTACTGAATATGGACTATCATACTGAGAAACTTCCAGTCATATCCATCCTTCTTTATTCTGTTCTCCTTATGACTTGCTTTTTGTTCATGCCTGGCCTGAACACAATGATGTAGCATTTGGGACAAAAGATGCAAAGCAGAAGGCCAGCACTGGATGACAAGATGGAGAAGATCTCCACGGCTGCTGTGTATTTCCCTTTGGTGCTCAAGTAGGTTGGAATAAAAGACAACCAAACACTGCAGAAGACCAACATACTGAAAGTGATAAATTTGCCTTCATTGAAACTGTCGGGTAGCTTTCTGACCAGGTAAGCCACAAGGAAGCTGACAACAGCAAGGAAGCCCATGTAGCCCAGGACACAATAGAACATGAAAGTTGAGCCCTCATTACATTCTAGGATGATCTTCCCTTTCAGTGAATGCTTGTCTATATCTGGGTATGGTGGAGAGGTGCTCAGCCAAATTGCACAGATACCTGCTTGAACTGAAGAACAGGAAGTAACAACCAGACTCGTTAGTTTTATCCCCACCCATTTTCTCATCCTGGAGCCTGGTCTGGTAGCCATGAATGCTAGAACTACGTTGAGGGTTTTTGCCAATACACTGGAAACGGCAACAGCAAAAATTATGCCAAAAGCCGTTTGTCGGAGAAGACAAGTTAACTTTTGGGGCTGACCAATAAAAAGCAAGGAGCAGAGGAAGCAGAGGAGGAGAGAGACGAGGAGAGTGTAGGTGAGACTTCGGTTATTGGCTTTCACGATGGGCGTCTCCCAGTTTTTGGTAAATGTTCTTATCACGAAAGCTGTGATGAGAGCAAAAGCCACAGAAGACAAGGCTAAAGTGATCCCTAAAGGCTCATGATATGACAGGTAGGTAGTCAGCTTGGGAATGCATTGGTCCTGGTTCTCATTTGAATAGTAATCTTCTGAACATTCAGAGCAGGTGTCCATATCTAGAAAAATAAAGGAAAGCACTTTGTGATCAGTTCATGAGATGAGACTCTGAAAGCTCCTGTGTAAAATCTCACCATAACTTATTTAGGCCAACGTACAGTAGTTTTCTCTATTATTATTTATTATTATTTTTATTTATTAAATTTATACCCCGCCCCTTTAGACCATGTCTACTCGGGGCGGCTTACAACATAAAATGGACAATATAAAATATAGATAATCATAAAGTACAATTAAAATATTAATACAATTAGATTAAAAGTTAGCAAAATGGAATAAGAAGGAAGAAAGAAAAAATAAAAAACTTAGCTGACTGGAGGGAAGGCCTGCTTAAATAGCCAAGTTTTTAACTGTTTTTTAAAAACACCCAGCGAGGGTGCCAGCCGAATTTCTGCTGGAAGGGCATTCCACAGCCGAGGGGCCACCGCCGAGAAGGCCCGGTTTCTAGTTTTTTGCTTCCAAGCCTCTCTCGGAGTCAGACCCCTCAGCCGTCCCTGCTGGCAATGACGGGTGATTCGGGTAGATCTGGGTGGGAGAAGACGGTCTGCCAAATATAGGTAATTAATCCACAGACATCACAGACATGTCTTAAAGTGACATATTTATCCTTGTCTTAATACTGTCCACAAAATAAAGTCAGCAACCTATATCAATTTAAAAAAATGCAATCTCTATCAGAATAAGATAACTTTTTCAGCGGTGGCTGTTCAAACACCCTTCTATCCACCAGCATCCTTAGTTTCTTGAAGGGACCAATCAACACTTTTTGAAAATTTTCATTTTTATTAAGCATTTTAGATTTGTCCAAGTCATTCTGGACATTTTAATAATAGTCATGTTCCATCAAGTCAATTCTGACTTATGGCAACACTTTGAGTGTTCCAAGTAGAAAATACTCAGAAGTGGTTTACTACTCCTTTCTCCTGAGGGAATCCTGGGACAGCGTGGTTTGTTCAAGGATACACAGGGTGGCTCTTCTCACTGGAGGCACAGTTAAATTCCAAACCTCTGGCTCTGCAGCCAGATATCTAAGAATAGCTGAAATGTGTAAGAAATCATGGCTACATGTTTACGTGTTTCTGTTTTTGGTGTCTCCTGTTAGTGCCTATGGTTTTCAATAATTCTTCCTCTTTTTTTGTCAACCATCTTAAAGTCACAGTAATGAAAATGTGTAAATACATGTTCAAAAGTAATGATTGAATGAATCTTATGCAAATGGTTAAAAACACAAGCACATACAAAGCAAGCACAGTAGGACAGGATGATTATTTAAAATGATGAAATGAACCCATCAGATGCCTCTGATTTTAAAATGCAAGAAGATGGCGGCTATTTCAGTTTATTTGTGTAATTCACGTGGAAATCATTCTGACAAATTCAGGAACTTTCCTTCACACCATCTGAAAATGCACCCTAATCTCACATTTTAGGGAAAACATTGTGCTTCCTTTTCCCTGGAGAGGACAACAATAGAATTATTGTTCTGTTATGAAATACTGAAGATGTATGTAACAAGGTTACAGATGTAACAAGGTTACTGCAGATGGAGACAGCAGCCATGAAATTAAAAGACGTCTGCTTCCTGGGAGGAAAGTGATGACAAACCTTGACAGCATCTTAAAAAGCAGAGACATCACCTTGCCAACAAAAGTCTGCATAGTCAAAGCTATGGTTTTCCCTGTAGTGTTGTATGGAAGTGAGAGCTGGACCATAAAGAAAGCTGACCGCCGAAGAATTGATTTGAAAGTCTGATTTGATTTGAAAGTCTGATAGCTTGGAAATATATTTCTAAGGAAATCCTCTTATCAAAGGAAACATGTTAATTATGATGAATGTATATTCCCTTTATGGATCTGAACAGATATAAATCTATCCAGCAGTTCTGGTAAGTAAATACTGTAGAATATTTGACATGGCTGATTATCAGGGAAAGAGGAAGAACCAATATACTTAAGCAGCTTTTAATCTTGGTGTTTGATCACTAATTGAATCAATAACGTTCAGCCAGATTTTCACTAAAACCAGACTGGTGTGCAGTATCTCACAAGACCATTTCATAGGAAGAAACTGAATTGCATTTGCCTGTGTTCCCAATAGTTTTGCGGCATTTTGTGTTTATTTTGAGGCTGTTCCAGAACTTCTGATGTCGAGATATCGCTATATTCACTATGGTAGAAAATTAGTTGCATGCTTATCCCATTAACAACTGCAATTTAGAAAGGCTGCTGGTGGGCATTGGAAGAATACAATATCAGATCCAAGAATGAAATGTATTAATATAGAAACCATTCACAGTACAGTTATATGAACATCCTATGATTAATCAACAGACATGACTAAAATGAATTGGAATTGCCACCTACTTCATACTAGCAGGAATTATGTCCTTACTTTTCTGCTCCGAAATCTTCCCCTCTGGACAGGGAATGCAATCGTAGCAGCAAAATGGCTCCCCGTCTCTCTTTCTCTTGTTGTAACCAGGAGAACAATCGTCATTACACACAGAAACAGGCACAACCTATAAAGAACGAAACCCCAATCATTTACAAAACATGTTGCTGAAAATTTAAATGACACTTTCTGCTTTTTCCATGAATTTTCCCTCTTTATGCCAGAATCCAGAATGACACCCTCCTGTGCAGATTAAGTGTTTGGTGATAAACCTTGTGGGTGATGGATGTTGTAACCATTTATTCACGATTGGTCACAAGAAACTGATTTTTGTGTAAGCACATAGTGCTATGACTTGGGGAGAGGCTTTTGAAAACATCTTCGTCATATCCTTCTCAACGTGCAATCTTGAGCAATTTAAAATTTTATCTTCCCATGATTGACTCCCATATGCCATAGGATCTGCATAATATTTGGTCAATATATTTCTGGGAATCCAACTAGGAATTGTGGATTATTTGCGCCTTTAGCATAATAATTTTCTTGCCAGCTTTGCACTGGTATGCATTTAGCATAGGTGCTTTTGACAATGCCGCTATTAAGTAGAATAATGTGGTCCCAGTTAGTGTGGATGGGTTGCTCATGTAGAGTCAGTTTTAGGAAATAATCTAAAGTCACAATTAGGGAATGGTTGTTCCGGGAATGTGTCACGGAGATATCACTGATATCTCATTAATGATATGTGCCTGTCAATATGTCAATCAGTAAAAATTATGGATGGATGTTGTGGCGAATAAAGACCGTCTGTCTAAAGTTGTGGGGATTGGGTGGCTGGGTGAATAACAGTGAAAACATACCCTGCTCATGGGTGTGGCCCAAGGAGCAAAAAGGGAAGAAAATCATGTGTCATCTGGAAAAGAAGACATTCATCTGAGCTGTCATGCTGGTTATCTGTTAACATGAGGGTGGACATTTTTGCACACTCCCCTCTTGGTTGGTGATTTATTTCACATGGTAAATAAATGTGCCCCTCTGTCAGCCTATGTTTTGATCTCTTTTAGTTTCTGGCTCTATCCTTAAAATATGGAGTACAAAATGGAATATTTCCCAACATCTAATTATTACTTCGATTGTTACTTTAGGACCAGGGATAAAATGTGGTAAAGAGTCAGGAAATGTGTCTACTGATGAAAATTTTGCTTCCTCCAAAGTACAAACCCTGGGATCAGAAATGCACAAACCCTGCATTATGCCCTTCAGTAACATTGCTTGCATTGGGATTTCAAGAAATGCAGAATAATTCAAGAATTTTAAAAAATCCTGCATGTATAAATATACTATCGGACGACTCTAACTGCAAAATCAAAGCTTATGAACAATGTTAGATCAACTGTGATCCATGTGGCCCCTTCACTGGGCATCTTCAAAAGCCAATTAAAAACCTGGCTGTTTAAGCAGGCCTTCCCTCCAGCTATTATTTGACTATCTTCTTTTCCCCTCTTTCCATCTTGAATAATCTGATCACTAATAATGTTGCTATGTTTTTAAATTGTTTGTTATATATGTTGGAAGCCGCCCCTAGATGGGCGGGGTACAAATACGATAGATAGATAGATAGATAGATAGATAGATAGATAGATAGATAGATAGATAGATAGATAGATAGATAGATAGATAGATAGATAGATAGATAGATAGATAGATAGATAGATAGATAGATAGATAAAACAACTAATAAAACAAAAGGTAAAGCCTTTAAAAGACATATAAACCTTAAGAACCCACTTTCAAATCACATGGTGCACTAGTTTGCAGTCCATGTCATCTCACCTGGTTAAAGTTTTGGTTCCACACAATGTTTTCATCCTGAAGAGTCAGCCTTTCTTCTATAGGACCTTCTGTTTTCCACCTTCCAACTTTTACTCTAACATAAGACTGATTGGGGAATATTACCCAGTTGGTAACATCAAATCCTGCAGTTAGTTCTTGATTTTCACCAAATTGAATGGTCTCTCCAGCACTGTTGTTGAAGGAGACACTCTTTAAAAAGTGGTCCAGCTAATTGTAAGACAGGAGGAAAACAGAGAAAGACAAAAACCATTTTTTTTTTACAATGCTTAGAATGAGAGATGCAAGCATTTATTTTGGACAGGGATTGTAGATACATCCAGATTTTTTCTAATCAAGAACAGACCAAAGGTGTGGTATCGTTTTCGCCAGAGACTTATCTGGTAAAATGGAAGGCCCCCACATGGACAGAAAAGGAGTAATCCTTGGGGGTGGCAGGGAGATAAAGAGCAAATAATTCCTTATTCATTACTTTTCAGCACAGTGCCCAAGCTTATCAAGATCTTTTCTGAATTTTGTTCTTCCAAGGTATTAGCTATTCCATCCAATTTTATGTCATCCACAAATTTAAGCATTCCCTACATCCCCTTATCTAAATCATTGATAAAAATGATTTTATTAAAATGATTTTAAAATGAAGAGAACCAGGCCCAGGACTGAGTCTTGTGGTACACCACTTGTTTCCTCCTCTCAGTTTGAAAAAACAAACAGCCATTTTGATAAGCACTCTCTGAGTATGATTCTATAACCAACAATGTATCCACCTGATACTTGTTCTACCCAGACCACATCTAGTTAGCCTGCTTATCAGAATATTATGGGGCATATTGTCAAAGGCTTTGCTAATGTCAAGACATGTTGCATCTACACTACTCCCACCATCTACCAGGAGGGTTACCCGATCAAAATATGAGATGAGTTTAGTCTGGCAGGATTTGTTCTTGGCAAATCCATGTTTGCTTCTAGTTATTACTACATTGTTTTCAAGATGCTTGCAGAGTGACTGCTTTATAATCGGGTCCAGAATTTTCCCTGGGATTGATTCCAGACTAGCTGGTCTATAGTTCCTTGGTTCCTCCTTTTTGCCCCTTTTAAAGATGTTAGCTCTCCACCACTCATCCTCCATGGTTTCAAGAAAATAATGGACAGTAGTTCTGAAATATCTTCAGCCAATTCCTTCAATGTCTCTAAATTTAGCTCATTCGGTCCTAGGGTTTTGCACTCATTCAAAATAGGAAGGTATTCCTTGAGTGTTTCTCAATCACAAGCTGCAATCCTATCCCCTCCTTTTATACTTCACATTTGCCTGAAGGGTCATATATGGTTTTTTGAGAAAAGGCCAAGCTAAAGTAGGAATTGAGTATTTCTGCCTTTCCCTTTTCATGTGTTATAATTTTCCCATAGTCATTGAGATAAGCCACTGTTTTTTCTATGTCTTTTACTATGTACACACCTAAATAATGCTTTTTGTTGCTTTTAGCATATCTTGCTAACCTCAGTTCATTCTCAAATTTTGCTTTCCTAACACCATACCTGTAATTCTTTGCTACTCTCAGCAATTAGAAGACCCAAAACACAGCACCAAGCAACTCCCACCCCCTTTGTGAGGAGGGTCTCAGTCCCATAAAGTTCTGTCCTCACAGCTGGATTGTGGAAACCAAAGGCAGGTACAGATTGTGTGGTGCAGCCTGCTTCCGCTGCCCCCCCAAAGGCCGTTAGAACTGAAGAGAATGAGGAGGACCTGGGACCAATGAAGTTCTTGACACCACAACAGCCACCTCAGCCTACTGCCACCATGTTTCCCCACCTTCAATCCCAAAGCACCACCAAACTTTGGTTGCCAGATACATGGGTACCAAAAGGAGGACATAGAAAGACAAAAATGAGGACAGAAGAGGACATCTTGAATGTTTCATTTGAATCATTCCGGATTAAACCCGCAATCAATACAATTTTATTACAATAGCTGCCAATAAATGTCTCTTAGTGAACCGACCAAGAAACAGTCATGTTAAAAAATAAAAATAAATTCAATGGAGGCTTTCCCCCCCAAAATACCAAAAAACATTATTTAAACAGCCAATTGTACCCAAACCCACCCCGGGCCCGGCTGCGGGATCCCCTGGCCGCTGGCACTCTGCACAGGCTCAGAGGCAACCTTGCTAATCTGGACACCCAGACAAGGTTCTGGTGCAGGCAGGGGGAAAGCGGCATCAGGCAAAACCAAATGAGGCAGGTTCCCTTCCCCCAAGGGTAAGTTCAAGGGACTTTGAAAGGGACTTTGAACACACACAGTCTGGGAGCTGGCCTTCCCATCGATGCGCTCGGGCACTGCTTGCTCCTGCCTGGCTCAGCGGGCGGTGCTCCGCTCATGCTGCCTTTCTGGGCTCCAGGTGGGCTGGGAGAGCATGGTGGATTGCTGATCAGCTGCTGCCGCAGCAGGAAGAGGTGAGGGCTGAGTGCCGGTGCCAGCAGCAGGTAACAGGTGGGCGGGCAGATGGAGGTGGGGAAAGACGGGGGAGGGGGGGTCCTTCCACCTCTCCCGCTCCCATCAAAAATTATAACATAAAATATGCAAAAGCCTGATATTTTAAAGGTTTTTATCTTTGCCTGCCGAACGGTGGACATTAGGCTAAAAAGGAGGACATGTCCTCCTTTTGCCTGACATCTGGCAACCCTACACCAAACCCACCTCATACTCCACTTTCTGCAGCTCCTTGAAGAATCCTGACACAAGACTCACCAGCTTCCCTCTAAGTCAGTGATTCCCAACCCAGGGTGACCCAGGTATTCTTGGACTGCAACTCCCAGAAACCTTGCCAGCACAGCTGGTGGTGAAGGCTTCTGGGAATTGTTGTCCAAGAACACCAGGGGTACCCAAGGCTGGGAACCACTGCCTTAAGCTAAAGGCTGACAGGACAGCTACAGTTCTGACACACAGCCACAGAATGGAATGGCAGACATCTCAAGGTGTCAACCAAACTGCCTCATACCTATCAAATAGGAACCAATAAATGACAATAGTAAAGTCAAGACAAGATGGAATGGACCTGCCTGTTGAAGACTGTGGAGGGTTCTGGATGTTTCTCAAGAAGCTCTCACAAATGTTTGGTACAAAGGACAATCCCTAATTTATACCTCTGTTTCACCTTCTTCCACTTGCCTAGGCCTTTCCCCACCACTATGCATTTTTTCATGTACTTCCAATAGTCCTGGTTTGTACCCCTGGTGATACATGTACCCTAGATTGGGAAACACTGCTCTAAGACAGTAATTAAAATAGGCAGAAACATTATAATAAAGTCCTATTCTCATAGGATAATATGAGTAATATCTGTTCAATGTTTTCGCTAAGGCTTTCACGGCCGGGATCTAATGGTCGTTGTGGGTTTTTCGGACAGCAAACAGTTTGCTGTCCTCTGAAGATGCCGGCCACAGAGACTGGCGAAACGTTAGGAAAAACCACCTTCAGAACACGGCCAAGAAGCCCGAAAAACCCACAACAACCAATATCTGTTCCTTTGACTTAACACAACATGGACTCCATTGGTACAGTGCAAAGAGAAAAAAGGCTGGTGAATTTTACCACAGTAAAAGCTCTGAAGAAGGATAGGACTTCTGAAACTGACAGTCATTCATCAAAATCAAAGTCAAATAGCTACATAGTTATTTTCTGTACTGTGTGGAAATAATACCTCCCATGGGTGTAGACTCCAGAGTACCGACCTCCCACCAGCCACCCGTGATCTGTACTTGGAGATTGATTCTTCATACATCATGTGCAGGGCCCGTGCAACAGCCTGGACAGCATTGTAAATATTATAGCTGTGGCCAGACATGCTCATTTCAAAGAGAGGTCCAGGAAGGGTCTCAAGCTTCTCATCTCCACTGCAGATTTTCTTGCTCCCCTTCCCATCCTGCAAACTGAGACTTTTCAAGGAACATTTGAAGGCCTGCTCCCAAAAGTCTTGGATAAAGCCATCCTCTTTTGCCCAAGAAGGATTTATATTCTGAAGAAAAGTCTGGAATCCAAGTGGTTCCTCTGAGTGGATTGCGAAGGATAGCATACCATGAAAAGTTTGTATATCACGGTACTTATGACTGGGTGGTACAGTGAATTCCAAGTGTGTTGTCACAATCCATACTATTCCTGTGGGTGAATTCAGAAGGTTCAGTGTTAGAGGACCACCTTAGACAATGAGTACCTTGGTTTTTATTTGAACAACAGCTGAAATTATACCCAGATTTCTATATAAAGATTCAGTCAATTTATCAATGTAAGCCAATGTTCTTAATTTAGCTATGAAAGCAATGCAGATGCTGCTCTGAGAAAGCAGTGGCACAAATCCTTGCAAAAATCTCTCTCCAATGGAAAAGTCCAAGGTAAAAATTCCTACCCACGTCCACCTGAAATGCAGGAATAACTGGACAAGTCCCATGTACTCATGGACATCATCTGGGGTCATGCGATACAAGGAAGACAGTACTTTTTTCTGAGGCAACTGTGAGTCAAGGGAGCCAAATACGAACTAAAGAGAAGACAGAGCTCTGTCAGCGGCACAGAATATTTGTATGCTGTGTGTATGCTTTAAATGGCTTGGACTTCATAACATGGCATCCTTTTCCCTAGATCCTTGCTCAATTAAAATGGAGCCTTCCTTTGCATAAGAAAAAAAAAAACATTTTCAGAAAAAAAGTGCATAGATTGTGAAATATCATTATGTCAAGGTGGGAAACATTTGGACTCATAGCCTTCCTGCAGCTTCTCCTGATATGTTCCAGCAGATTTGTTTTGTAATCTGATGAGTAGACTGAAAAAACACCACCACCTCCCTGTTTTCTTTAAGCACTGTGGAGAGGAAGTACTGGAGTGTTTAACAGTCCTTCTGAGACCCAAGTTCCACCATCCCCAAAACATTTTAATTTCTTTTGAAATCCTGTCATTATAAGTTGGGAGACATCTCTTTTTCAAATTCTAAAATCTGTTTTTGTACAAAACTGTTTTGGGAGCTGTAATTTGTTGTAGTTTTCTGAGGTGTAAGAATGGTAATGTGTAGCCTCTGGATCTCCAGATACTGTCCATTCCTGGTCAAGATTAATATGTCATAAAAAATATAATTGGTTGGATTCAGGCTGGCCGGCCCTGCAATCATCTGTATTTCTATGGGACTCACAACAGTCCTCTGAAGATGCCGGCCACGGAGACTGGCAAAACATTTGGAAGAACAACCTTCAGAACACGGCCAAAGAGCCCGAAAACCCACAACAACCATCAGATCCCAGCCGTGAAAGCCTTCAAGAATACATATACTGTAATTCTTTATTTCTTTTTCTAATACAATCCATTCCATTACCAAGGAAAACACTCAGAAAAAAAATATTTTTTGAGCCTAGGACATGTCTGTGTTTCCTTCCGAAAGATTTGCCCCTGGGACCTTATAGATGTTTGAAATGGTTGACATTTGTCTCAGGAGTGATATCTGTCATATTGTTCTGCACATTACACTTGTAGCTGAGAATGAATTGTAACAAATACA